TTTACACGAAAGCAATTTTTTTTGGTGAAATTCAAAATAAAAACGCAAACCAAACAGCATTATTCTCGTAAACTTATGCAGGCTATATTCATGCAATTTTCTACAAACGGTTGACCATGAAAGTTTAAAAAATATGGTGCATATCTGGTTTTGACTTTCATCGCTTCAATTATTGTTGTCATTTTTTTCGTCGAATATGAAAATATTTTTCAAACAGCCAAACACATTAAAAAAATAAAATGACGGATGTAAGGTATGCAAAGTGAAATTAAACTGACGTTAGCAATACATTAAAACAAGATTTAAAGTTTTAGAAAATTCTTTTGATCTTAATTTACTATAAACAAAATTAAAAGAACAAATAAAATAAATAAATCAACAAATTTTATAATCTTCACATACAACATTATTAAAATGCAGAATAGATAGGTTTTAATCTCATGAACTAACTACAATAAGTGCGTAAATAAAGAAAAACATTCATTTACGCGAATCAACAATTTTAATATTTTCTTGGCCCACCGCCGACACGTATAACGTCCGCTACCCTACTTGGCATACTATTGACCAAGTCTGCAATAAATGCTTGGGGAATAGCCTCCCATTCAAATTTTACTGCATTTACCAAATCGTTCAAATTATTTAATACATACTCACCAGCATTCATCCTAAGTTTCATTTTACTCCATACATGCTCTATTACATTCATATCGGGAGATCTAGCAGGCCAATCCATTCGTTCGATGTTATTCTCCCTCAAAACTTCTTGAACGACTCTGGCCCTTTGCGGACGAGCATTATCATCTACCAGTATAAAGTCATTCCCGAAGTTTTGAGCGAAAGGAATAATAATCTCATTCACACACATATCTCTATATCTATTCGCATTCATACTTTCATACATAAATTGAAAGCCCCTTACCTACCTTAAAACTCTGTGTTGATAACTAATAGATACCTTCCGTAGTTTGCTCATTTTTGTGACTTAAGAGGAAAATAACGTGAATTTTCGAAAAATTACTGAATCGATTTTGAAAATCTTTGGAAATTCTAAATAGCTGATTCTTTGACTCTTATGTCAAATTTTGGGAATACGATATTTTGCACATACCATTATACTACAGGGTGTTAAACGAAGAGATGTATTTTTTCCGAAATTTCAAGTTATTCCCATTCATAGGGCAGTTGACTTTGGTAGTCGTAATACCCCTCCCTAATATAAGTAAGGTAATCCCTCGGAACGTTTTCGAGATTTTGTGAATATCGCGGCTTACTAGGATTATATGCCAATTTATCGAAAATTGTCGTTATTTCCTAGTTTAGTCCAAAAAATGGGCAATAGTGGATTCTTTGACTTTTATGTCTAATTTTGGAAATACGATATTGTGCACAATATTTTTATTTTATTTTAAACGAACAATGCGGGGTTTATATTATGCAAAAAAATGAGGAAAAAAATAATGTTAGAGTAAATAAATAAAACAAAACCAAAGGAAATTTATTTGTCCTAAATTAAGACAAAAATAATTACAGTTCTTCAGGACATTCTCGAACCATATAGCCCCACAAATTCTCTATTAAAGAGAAATAATAAAACCAATGTAATTACCTGATGACTAACTTAAAATTTACCGCGACGCGCGCAAGGCACCTCGACCTACGGCGACCTTGCACTGAACGAGTACTCCACTTGATTTGTTTTGCCGGTGAAGCGTTCGCCGGTTGTTTTCTATACGAAGTAATTAAACAAAACGCTTTCTGTTGAGGCTTTGCCGTAACTGCAGGTAAGTTGCAATTTATTAATTAATTAATATATTCTATTGCTACCCAGTATTTTACTTAGTAATATTTATTTGTTGAATTGGCCACGTGTGGGTTTTGCTAACCTCAATTATTTTTTTAGTTTCCTAATTCTCCAGGATCCACCTGAGCTCAAGCTAATCAGGTCGTAACCACTTTTAAGTTATAGTAATGTTTCAGGAAACACAGTGTTCACTACACGCCGTTTAACTTTTGTGTATTTTTAAATTAAGGAAATTTTAACTTGCTCTTCAACCTTTATTTATCGTAACTAAAGTTTTATTTATATTACCAGTAAAGTTTTGCTCATGTTAAATTTAGTCATATCGAATTTGGTTCTTTGTAAACCATATATGGCCATATAAGGGTGCACCAATAACATAATTAAATGTCCTAATAATCATTTTTAAATGAAAAACTTGACGACTTTATTTGTTTGCAGGGAACCTTGAGGGAAATGCCAGATAATTTTGAAGCTCGTGTGGTATTCGGGGGATTATTTTTTTTGACAGTTATTATTGTACCTTCCTTATAGTCTTCTCCATCCATTTTCTTCATATTGTAAGCGTAATCTTTCATAATGTTTGCCAATTGCGCTTCACTCATTTCAGCACTCAATGTGTATTCCCTCTCAGTACAAAAAGTAGTAAATTGGTTCCAAACTGTTTTTTTTGACTTCTCCGTATTAATGGGAACATTTCCTTTGACTTTTTTATCGATGGTGGACAGAGAACAAACTCCAAATCGACTCATTTTCATGCAAAATCTCCAATTTTCACAATTGAATTCAACCTGTCAGTTTGACGTGTAATTAATTTGACTTTTTTATATATAGCAACTACCAGAGAAAATTTTCAAAAAATTATCGCTGTAATTCGCTGTAGGTTCCCTCAACAACAATGCCTCAACAATGTCCCAACAATACAGAGAACTGTCAAAAAAATAATCATATATAATACCACAAGAGCTTCAAAATTATCGGGTATTTTTCCCGATAGGTTCGTTGCAAACAAATGAAGGAGTCAAGTTTTTCAGGTTAAAAAATCACGAGCGCGAAGCGCGAGTGATTTTTCCTGAAAAACTTGACGACTTTATTTGTTTGCAGGGAACCTTGAGGGAAATGCCAGATAATTTTGAAGCTCGTGTGGTATTCGGGGGATTATTTTTTTTGACAGTTATTATTGTACCTTCCTTATAGTCTTCTCCATCCATTTTCTTCATATTGTAAGCGTAATCTTTCATAATGTTTGCCAATTGCGCTTCACTCGTTTCAGCACTCAATGTGTATTCCCTCTCAGCACAAAAAGTAGTAAATTGGTTCCAAACTGTTTTTTTTGACTTCTCCGTATTAATGGGAACATTTCCTTTGACTTTTTTATCGATGGTGGACAGAGAACAAACTCCAAATCGACTCATTTTCATGCAAAATCTCCAATTTTCACAATTGAATTCAACCTGTCAGTTTGACGTGTAATTAATTTGACTTTTTTATATATAGCAACTACCAGAGAAAATTTTCAAAGAATTATCGCTGTAATTCGCTGTAGGTTCCCTCAACAACAATGCCTCAACAATGTCCCAACAATACAGAGAACTGTCAAAAAAAATAATCAGAGTAATTCACTACAAGTAATGAACAAAATGTCAAAAAAAGCTTTCTTTTTAAGAAGAATTAGTAAAAACTTAACCCTACATACAAAGCTCCTTTTATATAAGTCCATAATTGTACCTCACATTGATTATTGTTCAACAATATTATTTAGTTTACCCTCTTATAGAATACAGGAAATGCATTCAAAATCGCTGTATGAAAAACATCTTACTTTGTAATAGATATACCCCCATTAATTTAATGTTAAGTGTTTTAGATCTAATGTCAATACATAAAAGGATAACAAATTAGAGTATGTGTCTAACCCATACGATACTAGAAATTGTAATAATTTTAATATTAAGTTTTGTCGTACCGCTCAAATGAGTCAATCTGTTTTTTCAAAAGGCTTAGTCCAATTTAACAAACTACCTCGAAATGTAAAGGAATGTGACGGCCTCCAAATGTTTAAAAAAACTTTGTTAAAACACATTAACGAATTAAGTATTTAATACAGATTAAATGTACAAATATAATAGAAAAAAAATTGTTATTTACCTAATGTTTATTTTGTTTTTTATATGCATATATATTTATTTGTGTTGTAATTTTATAGCGTCTGCTAAATAAACGTTATTTATTTATTATTATTATTTTATATTTATATAAAGCAATGGCAAAAAAGTAACGCTCAGGGTAGAACCTTGGGGCACTCCATTCTCCAGAAGACGACGACCAAACAAACATTTCCAAGACGCACACGAAAAAATATTTCCTTTAGAAAGGACTTAACAAATTAAGGTAAGTTTCCACGATACCCCCACTGGTGAAGGTACTGTAGGATCCCCAATCTCCACGTCATCCATAATTTCCTTTACAAGACAATTTAAATATTAAAAAAAAAATATTATGTCATTATTGATGTAATTTTTTGTAATAATGTAATGTTGGAAATAAAAGAATAATATTTTTTCACCAAATTAAATAATTAGGATTTTTTTAAATATTGTTATTATTTAAATAATAATTATTATATAACATAATTTAAATATCTATAATTAAAATAAAATATATAATTTTATATTTTACCAAATATAATAATTTAGAAACAACAAAAATTGAAAAAAAAATATTTAAACAAAATTCCCTATGTTATTTATAACTAAAAACTAAACAAAAGATTAAATCATCACACAATAAACTTGATTTAAAAAAATATTAAAACAAAATTGTTAAAAAAAATTAAACAAAATATAATTTTTGAAATACTTAAACTACTAATCGTCACTTGACTCATCATTACTGTCAGAGAATCTTCTATTAAATATTCTTCATCATCACTTCTTTGTACCTACCATCAAAATATTAAGCTGATGTTAAATGGAGGAGATATTGCTAATCTTACTGTTGGAACTGCCATGCCACTTTCATCTTATAACGATTGCCTTCGCAAGATGATGTGTCTCAATCCAACACCAACATGTCATTTGATGACTACAAAAACACCGTCAAATGAATGTTGTAAATCTTGTCCTGGTTTAAGTGCAATTCGTGAATATTTGAAAATCATATTTGATAACAATCAAGTGACGGACGTGCAGTTTGAAAAATGGGTTCGCTTCGCTTCACAATATCTACTCGACTGCTGTCTTCTGATGATATTGTGGATAGCTTGTGTGACGCTGTGGATACATTGAAACCTCATGCCTATATTGCAGAGGTACAGGCATTGCATTTTAAAACTCTTCAACAATAATTGCGAAATCCTCGTGCAATGTGATTTTGCCGAAAATTATGGTTTTGTTGTCCAAGATGCTGTTCAATCTTTTCATTGGAATAATGAACAGGCAACACTTCTGACATCGGTTTTTATTATAGAGATGGAAATGAAATAAAACATCGCAGCATTGTTATGATTTCAGATGACTTAAAGCATGATAAAGCCACCTTCTACGCTTTTCAAAAAAAATCACGAGCATCTTTTAGGAAAAGCAATCAATGTGTCTAAATTATATTTGGAACTATTTTATTACAAAAAAGATTTCAATGCGGATGCAGAGATACATTTTCACGCAACGCCTAACGAAAAAGGACCGTGCGATGGGCTTGGAGGAAACCTTTAGCAACGCGTGCAAGCCTACAGTTGCCTGCAAGTAACGCAATCGTTACACCAATGCGATTATACGAATTGGCAAAATTATCTTTAAAACAGAGCCCTTTACTACTGCTCCAAAGGCAATATTCAACGTCAGAGAATTTTTTTGCAGCCCCGGTTATATTTAGCAATCACCATTCCTGGAACAAAAAAGTTGCACGCCTTTATTCCAACAACCGAAGGCCTTTTGTACTTTAGGGTATATTTTGAAATTAAAAAAATTAAAAAAATTGGTCGAAGTTACTAAAGTTTATTTCCGGTTTTGTATATAAAAAAATAAAAAATCCATTTTTATTTGGTATTAAAAAAGAACAGTAAATTTTCTATTTAGGTCGCCATATTTAATATTTTAAAATAAATTTGTTTAATTCGAAAAACTATTTCCAAAGAATACGAATTTCAAAAACGACAATTCTTTAGTAGCCAATAACATGACAAATAAACATCATACAAAAAAAAATTGTTTGTCCACATTCATACCCACTAGAACTACAATTAAGCCGAATATGAACAAATTTCAGAACGTCACTTTTTTTTCGCTGTCCACTTTACGTGAAATGCCCCATGAGTGAGTATGTGTATGGGGACGTAATAATAATAATAATAAAGCTCTTTATTCATAAATAACAATGGTATCTACATAAAAAAATAAAGATAAATCATTGGCAGTAAGTATTATTATTTATGAAAAGGCGAGATTCAGCTGGTTTATTTGAACTTGAACTTGGAGCTGTTCTTCCATCTAACCCTTGACTTGACCTAATGTAAAAAAAATAATATGTAACATAAAAATAAAAGAAATTCTAAATTTATAGGTAAACAAATGCATATTTATTTAGTAAATAAAATTAGATATAACTGCTCATAAGTTTATTCTAAATATTGTATTTAATTTTTGTTTTAAATTATTTTTTGATAGCTCATACAACTTTGTTGGCAAAGCATTTAGGTTTTTTGCAATTTGATAGGATCAAATTTTGCTATTTTATGTTTTGGAATAGCTAGGGTCTTATTGGGTCTTAGACCAAGATCATGCAGATCATGTCGAAATTTTATTTTATTATATAGATATGGTGGAGACTGGTTATAAATAACATTGTAATAGAGCATTAGGCTATTAAGTTTTCGGGTGTCTTCCATATTAAGCCAGTTTAACCACTTAAGGGTATGTGAAATACGATCAAATTTTTTAATTCAAAAAATTAGTCTAAGGCATGAATTTTGAAGCTTCGTTAAATTATAAAGGCTGAAAATTTTTCTCTGTATGTCTACAATACAGAAATAAACGAACCCTGACTATGGAGCTTGAGTCGCGGTGGCTTTGGCAGGTAACAGGTAGTAAAGGTGAGTAAAATTGTGTCTCAAATTTGTTATAGTATAAAGCTCAGTTTTTATATATTTTATTTGCAATAATGTTAGAAAGTACCACGTTTATCGCCGGACACCTAGGTGTACTAGCTAGTACAGTAGCAACCCCCTCCTAGGCACCCTTAAAGTATAATTATTTATAATAAAACTTTTGTCATAGTATAATAGCTGGGCCTTAAATATGTTATTTTGACAATTATAAAATGAAGTTTCCTCTGTCGCCGGACAGTTTTAATGGTTCCCCTATCTAGCAAGCCACATTTAAAGTCACTCTAGGCGTGAACGCGAGATACGTAAGCGGGTGCGAGTGAAATATAGTAAATTTAAAAGAAAACGACGTACACGTAATCAATCAGCTGATCGGGCACAGTTGTCAATGTGATGCTAAAATCATTGCATCAAGTGAAAGTGGTAGTGCAACTTATATTTATAACCTATATGATGCATCGCCAAAAGTATGTTTTTAGCTATTTTTAAAGGCATTTTCAGTAATAAGACCAAGAAATTTTGCCATCTTAAGTCAGTCTCTGGTATGTATATTCTTATTTTATGTATCCAACATATATTTCGTTAAATATTCTAATATATAATTAATAATAATCCTATTTACCTCTCTAACAGCTGTTAAAAATAACAAAGGTCAATTATTATCCCGTTCTGTCCCAAAATAGCGTATTTAGGATGATACCAACTCTTGAATCCGACTATTTAAATGCTTCGGTATTTTAAATATAGAAAAAACAAAAAAACGATATATAACAAACACAAAAACGGCAATGAAAATTAAAAAATAACAAAAACAACAAACAAAATAAATAAAATTATACACAAATTAAACGAAATATTCAAAAACACGACTGGCAGGTTCGAAATTCTAAAACGTCAATTTACAGACTTTGTTTTATACATTTAGTATTGGTACCAGTGCGCAAAATTATAACGTCATCGATGACGTGTACGTTTACTATAGTGCCTACGGTCTACGGCGATATTTTACTGCGCAACAGCTGTCTTTCACTTCGTATTGTGTAATCTGCAGTGTGAACTGTCATACTTACAGCCAGTTTTTTATAATTTATTTGTGGAGTTTATATATAAGTGTGATGCAAATATAATATAGTGTTATGATGGAAACGGAAGAAAAGAAATTAACTTGCTTTGTTTGTAAAAAAAGGGATGGCAAAATAATATTGTTTTCTGAACAGACTTTGAAAAAATGCGAAGTTTTTTTGAAAGCCAGAAAAAAACATAAGCTTAAATATGAAAATGTTATTTTGCTTGATGAATATACAGATGGAGGTTATCACCGAGAGTGTCATAAAACATTTATAGGACTTAATAAACAATACTACAATTCTGAACCTACAATTTCAAAAAAATGTACAAAACAATCAACTATTGAAGTTGTAGACAACCTCTCCAGACACGACTATTGAGTTGGTAACAGAATCTCCAACAACATCAGAGCAAAGTTATCTCAATTAACAGAACTACCACCTTCAACCTCCGAAGAACAATCTCATTTACTACCTACACTCACAGAACCTTTAACAACTTTACAACCAACTTTAATTTTTGGATCAGAGCCGAATCAAGAAATTCCTGATATTAGTGAACCAAATCTAAATGAACAAAACGATTCAACTGCGGACGTAAGTACTCCAATCCAGAGTGACACTAGTAGTAATGAGTCTTTAATTACTTGTGTATTTTGTAACAGAAATGAAATATTGATTAGATTAAATTATTTTATTTCATACTGTACTTTAATGTGCCATTTCCCGGACTCATTTGAGTCCGGGAAATGATACATTACATCACTAGGCCGGTAAAGTAACTTTACCGGACTCGTATATTTTAACTAACACATGGTTATTTCTGAACGATTATAAGTTTTTGCGCCATTTACAGAATATCTCGTATTCCTTTTGATATCGTCCGGAAGACTTGACCGGGATAAGTTCCGTCGCTTCAGAACTTTTTTTCAAAATCTCTGCATCCATTTTATTCGAAATTATTCAAAACCACAGATTCAAAACGATGCTGAACTGACAGACAAGACAATCAATAAAACATAGAGAAACCAATAAAAAAAATAAAAAAAACTCTTTGTTACTGTTAGCAACCGATTTAAAGCATACTACATTATCACCCTATATTACTGGTGCTACATTTTATAGTTTGTTTAGACAATACTGATACCATCATGTACTGACACATTACTGACACCTTCACCTGAATATACAGTTCAATTTTTGTACCAAAAATTTGAAAAAAATATTGAATAGTATGAAATAAAACATTGTACGATACACGGCCGTGAAATGTCACTTGTCTAGAAATTAAACATCTAGACTCGTACTTTAATAAGCCATTTCCCGGCCTTGTAACGTAAATTACTATTTTCTTTCCAAAAATACATTACCAAACAGATTGTCTAGTCAATTTTAATAATGATATATCATTGAGAAAGAAAACATCTAGTAAAAATGATTGGCATTATCATCGAGAATTTCACAAAATAGTTTTTAATTAAATTGGCAGCCTGATCGAAGAGGATGTAATTAACATTAACATTACAAGCCATAGATGATACAGTACTTGAAAACTTACAAACAGAAAATATTTTACAAAAATCTGCATTGATTTTAAGAAAACTTATACTCGGAGTAGAAAAAAATAAATTACCCTCTAAAAATAATACAGCAAAGCATTTAATATCAGGAGAAGTCTCGATACCACAACCATTACTGGACTTTTACTATACTCTTCTGGGTGGGTGTAAACAAAAGCGGAAGAAAAGCATCAAATGTTCTCGTCAAGTGCGTTCTTATTGTCAAGATATAATCTTTGGTATCCATAATGGCCATGTAAAGACGTCAAAGCACATAATGTTAGGTATGACTTTGAAGAGCTTAACAAGCAGCAGAAAAATTATTGAAAAAATAGAGGTATGGACACTGCTTTAGTTATCAAGTCTTGAAACATATACTTCAATTGAAAAGTCTACCCTGTGCCCAGAAAAAAAAACCTGATCTCTTTACTGGTGTGTCATATGATAATTTTGATAGTTTTGTGGAAACTGTTAATGGAAAGAATACTTTACACGACACTGTATACAGTGTCGTGTAAAGTATTCTTTCCATTAACAGTTTTCACAAAACGATCAAAATTATCATATGTAGGAATCATTTATCAGAATGTCGAGTCAAATACAACTGAAGAATCCGAAATGTCCGATGCACCGACTCCAAATAATAAAAACAATTCGCCTAGTAGAAATAAAAGAAGAAGAAGAAGAAATAACTATTGAAGAACTTCCGTACCCTAAAAAACCGAAAATGACAAGTGAGCTGCAGTCCACGGCTGATGATGTGGAAGCTATTGAATCTATTAACTCCCAAAAATACACTCTACTAGATAATATATGGATGGTTAGTCATGCTCTAAAATTACCTGATATACCTATGTGGGTTGGTTTCAATATTCGGATTTATGATCGTGATTGTTCATAAAAACTTATTTCTTATTTGACTTTAATCAACGCATCACCAACCAATACATCCATAGTTTTAGAAACTATGATACAAAGACAAAAAATAGCTGAAGACTTACTTTCATACAGGTAAGGTACGATCTTGCGATAGCCAAAGTTGCTCTTCAAATACAAGCTACGGAAAAACCTAAATTTGATAATTTATTCATCAATTTAGGGCCGTTCCATATAATGATAGCTTACTTTAAAGCCATTGGCAAAGTTATAGTGACTGTGAATTAAGCAATGTCATGGTTGAGAGTAATTTGTTGGCTAATGGTTCGGTAAATGGGTTTTTGGAGGGAAAACATTTTAACCGCTGCAAAAAGTTACATCCATTGGTAATATTGGGACTTAAAATTCTTCATTTTAAATCTTTCTTACAAAATAATAATGTAACTTTAACAGATGATATTGTAGAAGAAGTTAAACGACTACAAAACTCTGACATGTCATCTTTTAGCATTGAAAATAAAGATTTAAAAGGGTTATTGAATAATTATGGAGTTTATAAACAACAAAGTCTAAACGGTGAACATGGAAAACATCACAATTTTACATGATATATATAAATCTTATACAATATTACCTTAACTTATCCCGAAGAATTCGCACTGGAGATTTCGACCTTTTTAAATCTGTACTGCCGAAAATTACAAATCTCTTCTTCATGGGCAACCAGCCAAACTATGCCCGGTGGACTATAAAATATTGTGATAATTTAATGAAAGTTGCAGAAACACATCCTTAGTTATATAAAGGGTTCCAACAAGGTTGCTTCGGTATTAAAAGAACGTCCAAGCCATTTTCAAGACAACCTATTGACTTGGTGTTGGAGCAAACCATAAATGCAGTTGCTGCAAGAAGGCTGACAGGAGTTATTCATTTTACTAATTCGATTTCGGCACGACAAAGGTGGGCTCGGAACCACGATGTAAGATCGACAATAATAAGTCAACTTTATCTCGATCTAGGACTACAAACTCATCAAGATGTTTAAGCATATTTAAGTCTTCATAATATCCGGAAGAACACCAAACAACTGCAAAAATTTATGGCGACCTTCGAACGATTTATTAATCCTTTCAGCACAGAAGTTCCAAGAGATCAATTAATAAATATTTCTTCGGGAAAATCGACATCACCACCGGTTGAGGATTTTCTTTTAAATATTGAATCTAATGGAGATTTTTATCGTAAAACATTCATTTCTGAATATCATTCAGACATTATTAGATTTGAAAAAGCTATAAAAAATATCCATAAATAATTTTTCCAAGGATTATGAAAGAAAGAAGAAAGTAAAAGTAGGTGGTAAAATTCAAGAAGTTAAAATACAAAGAGATTTATTTGGACGTATGCTGGGTATATCTATGGACTACAATATAGATATATCTAAGATTTTATCTTACCTAATTACCTCAGTGCCATTGTCAATGTGCCATTTAGATGGCACTATTTGTAAAACCGATAAATCTGCGTTGATGAAATCTTTAGAAAAAGAGGTACAGTATGAGCAACCACGTCACATTGATGTTTTAATAATTGATGGTTTTTTCCTGTTGCACACGATAAAAAATGTTCCGAAAAAAATTTGGAGGGATTTCAAAAAAAATGTTGCACATGATTACTCAATTACAAGCGTTGAGAATTGATGTAATCTTCGATCAATACTTAACACCATCAATTAAAGATTATGAGCATTCTCAACGGTTTGAATCTGCACAGTTAGAGTATATAATATCTGGACAGAAGCAAAGTCGACCAAATGATTTTACTAAGGAGTTGAAGAATTCGAATTTTAAAGAAGCTCTTGTGGATTTTTTTATTTTACATTGGGGTACTGATGAAATGGCGTCATTTATTGGTAACAAACTTATTCAAATAAACTTCAAAAAATGTCATTATTTCTCTGTTAATGATTCTGACAAAGTTGTATCAGGTATTATGAAGAATTATCATGCCCGGAACATGAGGAAGCAGATACCAAGATAATATACCATGTGTGTAATTTTAATTTTCAAGCAAATATAGTAATCCGCAGTGTTGATACTGATATTGTCGCTATAATGCTTGCTCACTTACACCGCTTGAAACATGATTCGTCCGTTTGGATGCTGACGGGTACGGGAAATAACTTAAGGTACGTGGATCTGACAAAGATACACACAGCGTTGCACAGTGAATCGCCTAGTAGTAGCTCGGTGGACAAAAATCATTTTTTTGAATTAATTTAATAATACACCTATGATAATAACAACCCCTTAAAAGTCATAAATCAAGGTTTTAATTAAAGCAAAGACATCGGAGCAAGTAATAAGCGGTTAAAGTAAAATGAAGCAAGTATGTTTTTTGCGTAAATGGAATACTTGGGTTTTATAGCGTTATTAATATAAATATTTGTTGTTTTATTTAAAACATTAATTTTTCAATAAGTAGAAAATTTAGGTGTTAAATTTGTGTACGAAAAAATATTGTAATGGACTTTATTTTGGAGGGTAAGTTTTCTTTTGTTTTATTGAATTGTTTTAAAGTATAACTTTTTTTCTCCAAATGTCTCCAGGCTATTTTTGATATTATGATATAGCGACAGTTTTAAGCTTTAAAACGATGTATAGTTTGTCTCCGCCTTGTTCTGCTTTTTTCTTAATTTGCGTTTTTTAGATCGCGTGTTTTCAATATCAAAAATGGAACTTTTTGAAGAATGGCAAAAATATGCGGCAGAACAACGAAGATCTCGTGTATTATATTATGTTTTTCAAAAATTTAATATAATTGATATAACTTCTAAGTCGCAGAGATCTTTAAAAAATATTATATCCATAATAACATCAAAGCTAGCTAAACAATGGACTGCAGCTTATTATAAGATGGACCGTTTTTTAAATAAAAATAGAGCCTGGTTGGATGTAGATATAAAATTTAAAATAACTATGGAACATCCCTTACCATCTACATCTGGAAATTGTCAGCCAGGTCGGCCAAAAAAAATGTATGATCCTCCTATAAAACTAAAAAAGGAGAATAAAAGACTTGTTGCAATCGCGAAGTGCCAGTGAATTAACTACAGCCGCCGAAGTGGCAAATCGGTTGGCGGGCAATAAAAAAAATAGCTACTTTTATTAAAAAAATTACTCAAATATCAAAAGAACAAGAATCTAAAAATGTTATTTGTGATGATAGGCACTTAAGTTCTGATGAGGATTTAGCTTATTACGTAGACTCTAAATGAACTAGTCATTCATATAAGTAGACCCTAAAATGGTCTTTGAAGGCGGGACATAAAGTATTTTCATCTTACCAAAGTTTAAGTAACTCCAAAAAGTTATGTTACCCATCAGATGATGATATTTCTGTGACCGAAACACGTGCCGAAATTAAACTTTAAGCCATACTTGATAAAAGCTGAACGTTTAATTCAAGCACAAAGTGATGTTTTAAAAAGTTTAAATTATACTTTGTCATTCACATTAATTAGCATTAGCATGGGGGTGTGATGGGAGCTCTGGTCACAGTACCTTTAAACAGAAATTTGAGAACGCCGAAGCTACTGATGAGTTTCTGTTTGTATTTGCATTTGTTCCTTTAAGGTTAAGTGATGGTCAAAATATTATATGACAAAATCCAAGGCCATCATCCACACACTATTGCCGACCAATTAAGTTTATTTTTTAAAAGGAAACAAATGAATTTACTGAAACAGAAAGTAACAAGGTTTTGAAAGAAGTATCTGAACTTCTTTCAACACATTTTAGTATTGGCGAATCTCAAATTTCTGTTAAACACAATCTCCTACAAACCATGGTAGATGGAAAAGTTTCCAATGCGTTAACCAACACAAAATCTCCACAAAAATGCTATATCTGTGGGGCAACTCCCAAATTAATGAATGGCAAATTGGAAAATGTTACTAAAAAGAACATTACGGTTTTGGTTTGTCTACTTAACATGCGTGGATTCGTTATTTTGAATGCTTTTTGCACATAAGCTATCGCTTAAATATTAAAAAATGCCAAGCTAGAGATGACAGTGATAAAATTAGTTTACAACAGCGGTCGGCAGAGATTAAAAAAGTTTAAAAATCAGATGGGGCTTATTGTAGACAAACCAAAACCTGGTTATGGAAATACTAATGATGGGAACACAGCGCGTAGGTTCTTTATAAATCCAAACCTGAGTGGGGAAATTACAGGATTGGATGTTAATTTAAGTTTTGTATTATATTAAGAACGTTATCTTCCGGGTATGATATTAATGTTGATAAATTTGAAAAAGTTTATTATGAAACCAGAAGTGATTATTTAAATCTATATTCGTGGTACTATATGCCTGTTACTGTGCACAATATTTTGGTACATAGCACGGAGGTAATTAAATCATGCATTCTTCCAAACGGGCAGCTCTCCGAAGAGTCTCGGAATAAGGATTGCCGTAGATTTAGACAGCACCATACAAGGAAGCAGTCACGCGTTTCCACGAATATAGATTTGCTACACATGCTTTTAATAACATCTGATCCTGTAATCAACTCACTCAGAGAAATACCTAAAAGGAAAAGCGAAAAATTTCCGTTGGATTTACTTGTTTCGCCTTCAATACCAAAACAACAACAACAAAGAAGTGATGATGAAGAATATTTAATAGAAGATTCGTCTGACAGTAATGATGAGTCAAGTGACGATTAGTAGTTTAAGTATTTGAAAAATTATATTTTGTTTAATTTTTTTTAACAATTTTGTTTAATCAAGTTTATTGTGTGATGATTTAATCTTTTGTTAATTTTTAGTTATAAATAACATAGAAGATTTTGTTTAAATATTTTTTTTTCAATTTTTGTTGTTTATTAATTTAATGAAAAAATATTATTCTTTTATATTCAAAATTACATTTTGTGCCTAAGGAAAACTAGAGATGCCCAACGAATCCATCAATGTATATTTTCAAAATGTTCGTGGTTTACGATCTAAAGTTGATGAAGTATATTCGTTTACATCCGAGCAGTTTTGACTGTATTGCCTTAGTGAAAACGTGGTTAACCTGTGATATTAGTAGTAGCGAATACTTTTCTGATATTTACACTATATTTCGTTCTGATAGGGATTATGCTACAACCGCAACCTCTCGCGGTGGAGGTGTGCTTCTTGCTTTTAATTCTTCTTTCAATGTTAATTTAATAACTTTTACTCAGTTTAATACTATTTCTTTATTGATAGATATAGTTTGTTGCAAGTTAATTCTTAATCATACTCAATATTATATTTTTGCTGTTCATAAATAACGCTGAGCTTGAGTACTTTTTTGAAATGTTTGAATGATGTTTACTTAATTTAAAAAATATTTTTATTATTGGAGACTTTAATATACCTAATTTTATTACTCATAACCTTAACGATTACAAAACACGTGTGTTACATAACTTTTTAAATTTTACTTCTCTCTGCCAACATAATAATATCGTTAATGATAACGACAATATTCTTGATTTGTGTTTATCTGATCTTAACTGTAGTGTCTCTAGGGAAACTTCGCCTATGGTATCTGACGACAAATATCATCCATCTCTTTCTTTTAGTATTATAACAGATTTTGATAAATTTCAAAATTTTCCCGCCAACGCTAATAACAAGAATTATAATTTTAAAGGAGCCAATTTATTTGTATGAGGCTTTATTGGAATTTCCTTAATTACTATAATAATATTAACTCTGCCTGTGAAGCTTTTTATACTCAACATTATTCGCTTTTTGATCAATTCATACCCAAATTTACAAAATCTAAACGTAAATATCCAAAATGGTACACAACCGAAATAATCAGCAACAAAAAAATTAAAGAAAGGTGTTACAGGAATTTTAAAAAACATAAAAATGAGTTTTTTTTAAACGAATTAAAACAGGTTAGAAAACTTCTCAAATCTCAAATTTCTAAATCATACCGTCAATATATTCAACATACGGAAGACAACATTATTTTAGAACCCAAAAATGTCTGGTCATTTATGCGCGAAAAACGTGGTAAAACCAGAATACCAGCCAATGTCTTTTTAAACGATATACAATATGAAACTCCTCAAGATGTTGTTAATGGCTTTGCTGATTATTTTGGTAGTGTTTATTCTGTCAGTAATGACAATACTGCTTTGACTCCTAAGTTTA